AATATACATATTTATATAAATATAGAAAAAATGAGATGGATATTAAATATAAATTATGCAAATTCCTATATTCTACAGACTGTGCTGAAGTACAGTAAAATAAAAACCATTATTCAATTTCATTCAAGTACTAGAGGGAAATTCTTTCTGTCTGAAAAGTTTTCCCTTTCTTCCTGAAGCACTTTTGGAGCTCTGCAATTACTGTTCTGAGAGCTTAATTAAACAAGAGTATATTCTTTATTCTGTGTTATCATGTATAGTCCAGAAGGTAAATCAGAAAATGTTGGGACAACCAAACAATGTCGCACACTTAATTCTTCACAACAGAGAACTATTACCAGTTTGTTCATATAATTTCTGTGTAGCCATATTATCTCTGGGTTTTTTTTTTTTTTTCCCTGCATCCAGGTGTTTGTGACCAGAGTTTTGGAATACACGTAGCAGAGTTGGCGGCTTTCCCAAAACATGTGATAGAAAGTGCAAGACAAAAAGCGTTGGAGCTGGAGGAATTTCAAAACATTGGCAAGTCCCAGGAATCTGAAGGAGAACCACCAGCCAAGAAACGCTACAGAGAAAGAGAGGTGGGCTATCAGGAATGCTTTTGTAAATTTGTTTAGCTGGAATAGCCCAAGAAAAAGAGTTTAAGGATTCAGATTCCCTCAAAGCTTGAGGGTAATTAGCTGTAATCTCAGTTTTCCATAACAAAATGTTTTAGCTATGAAGTTCATTAGGAGTTGAAGAGTTGTTCAAGGATAGTGGGATTTGGTTTAGATTAATTTCAAGTTAACATAGGCAAAAATTCTACCTAAAAACATAGTCATGGGAATGAAACTAATTTTTTCTTAAAGAATAATCATCAGCAGTTAGTATGATTGGCATACAACTGGAGTCATACAAGGGCCCATGTCTCTAGCTGTCTTGTGGGGTTTTCTTCATGCCGTGAAGCAAGGCAAAATTTTGTGTTCATCACTTCTGTTGGCTACTTAGTTTATATGCAGTGTTTCTTGGGACTTGTTACAGCTTTTGTTTTAATTGCTGTTTAGATTATTCTTGGCTCTGCAGGTGGGTTGCACCTGGTTTTGGTCCCCCTTATTTGAGGGCTCATTAGTGCTGATTTCTTGAAGCTCAACATGAACATGTTCAGATCTGTTCTCATCAGAGAAAAGCTGAGTACACAGCTTTCTCCTTTGCCCTTCCATGTCCAATCAGTACTAACATGTCTCACAAGCTGATCGTGTTGAAGGACATGGCAATTTGGACCTGGAATGTCTGATTTACAGATGTCATAAAGTTCTTGCCATTTCACACATGAAAATTTTAGCTTGGTTCTCTCTAGTCAACTGAAAAGGAAGATGCTTTTGGCTTTGCACAGGCTTCAAGCACAAGTTGGGGAAACACACATCTCAGCATAGGTCTGATCATGTCTACGTTGCACATAATACAGTTGTGTAAAGCCATTTGAGTGAACTGTTGTTTCTCTTCTCCCTGCACTTTCTCTTAAAAGAAGCTTCATGAGCAGGTAGTGTAAAGGAAAACAAAAACTTGCAGGAAGCTTTTTCAGAATAGCCTGTGTCATCTTGTTGCTGGATTAAGAGTCCTTACAGTGACATCTGTTGCAGCCTCCTAGGAAATCCACGTGCTGCCTTGTGACTTGCATTGTTTTTTGCCAATAATTGGGTCCTCCTTGCTGTATGCATATAAATCTGCTTACAGATCTTAGTTCTGTGTCCCAGCAGCTGGCTTGAAACTTTGCAGCCTTGTAACTCATTTATTTCTTCCTGTATGTCAGTGGCAATCTTAGTAATACGCTGGTATATGGAAGCCTTGAAGTGTTAGTCCATATCCAAAGCACTTTCTACATTTAAAAAGCCTTTGCTCTAGACAGAGGCTGTTACCTGTTACTTTATTTTCAGTTTCAGAGCTCTACTGCATTTGTTCCTGGCTCAGTAAGTGGATCTGATGTTGTGGATGAACGATCTCTGGTTTGTCCTACCTTTTAGTGCCAGGAGGTTCCCCCTCTACCTACCTCAGTTACTCCACTATTACCTTTCCTTCGCCAGCTTGCTAGGTGTCATGTTGAAGTATTTTTTTTAGATTAGTTGGATCTGGCTGTGTGGTCTTAAGTTGGTGTAAATTAAATTGACGTGGCAAACACTTCTGACAAATACAGCATCATGTTTTTTTCTTGGATATTTCAGTAATACATAATATTTCATAAAATCTCTAGGCAATAGAATGGCATAGCTTTAGATGTCTCGCCCAGGCAATTTGTCTGCTTTTGTTAACATCATGTTTAGAGGGAAAAGTGTGCTATTACATTTCCAAGTCCTTTGGAGACTTCTGCGCTGAAAGCACACTGCATTAGTCCTAAATGATAAAACAAAACTAAGAAAACTTTGCAGTAGAGTTCTAAAATGCAAAATGCAGAGGACTAGACAAAATTGTGTATTCTGGGCAAATTGTTTCTAATACAGGGATCCTGAATGCTGTTCATTGAAATGTTTGTTCTTGCTGTTCAGTTCGGATTGTTTAGAAGTTCCACTTTGCCTGTTTGTGTAAAAGCATATGCATAAAGCTTAATTATCATCTGTTCTCCTTGGTGACGGCCACTCTCCAGTTGCTTGGTTACAATTTGTGCTTTTCTTTTGCATATTGAAACACAGGGTTTAATTTACAATTCCTCCAAAAAGTAACTAGTTTGGGTAATATGGCCACTCTGATGCTGTTATCGCTAGCAATCCTCACCTAATGTGGTTGCACGCTGGAATTAATGTGGAACACATACGGGAGCTCTCAATGTTACATACGGTATTTCTGCTGATCAACTGATGCTTTTGGCTCATGGATTGAAAGGGGAAAGAACTCCTGATACCAGTATAGCTGGATTGTTCTGCTGTTGAGAACATGATAGCAAGTGCAAAAACAAAGGTGGTTTTCATCTGCAAAAAGTTTCTAGTGCTGAATAATACTTTGTATCTCTGGCAGAATTTGGAAGGATCCTGCTTGCAATCTAAACATCCTTTCTGTTTTCTTTTCCCTCTCCATTTCAGGAAGGTGAAAAGATAATTCAGGATTTTCTTTGTCAAGTGAAAGCACTGCCCCTGACAGATATGTCAGAAGACGACATCAAAATCAAGCTGAAACAGCTGAGAAATGATGTGTTGGCAAAGAACAACAGTTTTGTGAATGAAATCATTTCCCGAACGACAGTTACATCATGAAAGGTGTGAAAACAGGATACAGCTCTTGAAGTGCGTTCCACATTGAAAGAACTATCATTTTCTTGTCTTGTAGCTTTTATACTTTGTGATACTTGTGTTGATTTATGTCGGCTTTTTTTTTTTTTCTTGGATTGTAATTATTTTGTAAAAGATTCTGAGCACGTTTTGTGCCAGACTTCCACTTCAGTTGTGATCATTGTGTCCTTTTAGAAGTTTTCAATAAAATGCTTTTGATTGTACAAACAAATTATTGACTGTACAAACAAAATGTGTAGTATTTTACCAGAAAAGTGGGCTAGAAAGTATAACAACTCAGATGGCATACAACTACCACAACCTTGAAAAGCAACAGTGCGCACACAAAATCTTTGTCCTATACCATGATTCTTTTTTTATATGATGCAATGACATTAATTCAGCTAAGTTTTAGTAAAGCTATATTAGTGCTCCATTAGAAAAAAGCATCTAGTCTGTCTGGTTTGTACTAACATTTTTGCATGTGTACCTGCATGGAGCTTGGGGGAGGTGGGGGTTGGGATTTTTTTTGTTTGCTGTGTGGATGGTAATGCTCAAGTCAAATATACTACAGGCCAGCTCTTCATGCCTGAGTGGTGGTAGCTCTTGCATTTTTTGGTGGTTTTGTAATGTAAGCAGAGGCTGGAATGAAGTTACAGTTTAACTGGAACTTCTGAGTTGGTCATGATTTGTGAGGTCTGTCTATGGAGAAAGAAATGCATTGATTTTTATCTAATGTACCTCTCGCACTGAGACATTTTGAAAGCATGCAGATACAAGCTTATATTCTCCTTGAAACTTAGCATTTTAAATTGTAGCTCTAGAACACTTTACCTGTGTTTAAAACTGTCAGTGTTGAAAGATTAATGGGAAAAGGTGTTTATCACATGAGAGAATAGGAATAAAATCATGCTGAAGATGCCATGCAAACTCTGGCTGTGTTCAGAGATTGCATCAGTGGGTGTGTGCTGGGGACAGCAGTGCTGCTGTTAAGGCTGTGCTATAGCTCTGCGTCAGGGATTGATGTGTTGCAGTGGTCTGCATTTAAACACTCCAACAGTAGTAGTCAGAGGTGTGGTGGTCAACTTGCTGTTGGATAACGTTTGTAGTTAGACTGGAACTTGGACATACTAGTTATGCTTCTCAATAGAGGAGAATAAAGGCTTGTTTGAGAGGTTTGGGTTCTGCATAACACCTTTTTGGTCTTTAAATTAGAATGTATTCTACTTAGACAAAAATAGACTTGGATTTACAAACAGCACAGTCAATATATGTATTCAGTAGCTGTGTCTGGAAAAGTGTGTGAATAGAGAAATCTGTTACGTAAAGTAATGAAAAATATAGCTGTTTTTGCAAATTCAAGTGGTTCAAGCACAACCTATCCAAAAATACAGAATTATACATAAAATAGACAATGAGAGTCAATTTAGAGGATCAAATACTGCAATGACACACAATTTGTATTGGATCAAACTGCTTTAACTGTTGCTAGAAACAGGCAGTTTTTGTTTCCAGACTGGAATGGCTGGTACACAGCCTCTTCCTACATATGTTGATATCTGTGGTGTGATCAAAGATGCCCCTCACTTGGTCTCCTGTCCCTAACCGTCGGGATAGGCATAAGACCATTGGTGGTTTTCTCTTCCAGGAATGTCTCTGTTCTCCCCTTGACCCTGTGTGAACTTTCAGGGTTTACAGCACTCTTAGCCAAGGAGTTCCTGACTGAGCTACCACCTGCAAGTAGGACTGCTGCTTTGCTTTGAACCTGATTCCTAGTTTCATCCAGTGCCTCTTGTTTTTATTATTTGTCTATTCTTTCCAGTCTGGATGTGGTGCATCAGTACAGCATGTCTGCAGTATGCTGAGGAGAGGCTGCTTTTGTTTTTGTATTGCAGTTGGAGGCTGATAGAGCTGCTCCTGTGTAACCAGATTTGCCTCTCCCCGCGGGTGAAAGCAGTACTCCTGTGTATTACTTGGGAGTGATGGAGTACCCTGACTGGACCAGCTCTGGGCAGCACCTACTCCTCTGTGCCTCAAAAAGGGAGTTCTGCATCTGCAACAAGAAGGATTCAGCTTTTCTTATGCCTTCCAACACTCACGAGGAAGAAGGGTGCGAGTTAATGGGATTTTAAGGCTCATCTTTTCAACTCTTTTCTCTTCTACACTGCACTTGCCACCCCCCCGCTTCGCTTCCCCCCGCCTCCCCCCAAGTGTACTGCTGCTGCCAGATATAAACAAGAGAGGATGAGGCAGAGTTTAGTCTCCATATGTCAGTGCTGCTTGCAAACTGGGTTACAGGTAGTGTGATTTCATGTGAGCAGGAGGGTGGCTATTTTTGCTGGTTCCAATTTAGCTTTTCGTTCAGAAATGTACCTATGAGACAGGAGCAATGCCGGAACTTGTCTGGTTATTACAGAGCTGTGCCAAGGAAGCAAAGATTGTCAAAGCTTCAGGACAAAATAATGCAGCTGTTGTGGAGCGGTGAGGCCACTTACTGTCACCTTGAATAAAGTTGCAAAGTTTTTCTTTGCTCCTTCACTTGAGAATGCTTGGCACTGAATGCTTACTGTAGGTGTGGTCTTTTTAGTCTCTGTGCTGTTATTTTTCATCTAGAAGGCTCTTTATGAAGAAAATGGCATTAGGTGGGGTAAAAGAAAAGAGCGGACATGATCAAACACTGAAGGAATTATTTTCCTTTGATCACTTTACTGCCCACCTCTTAGTGATCAGGAGTTCAAGCAACCTATTTGTGTGCAGGAGCACCTGGCAGCCAGGCAGATGAGAAAATGCTGGGTTTACTACTTGGCTTGTGGTCAAAAGCAGGTGAGGTGCTTGGAGGTCAGCAGGCTCCAGTTAAGGTTCAAGGACTTGGGGATTAAGCTCACAGATCCAGGGCAAGCAGCCTGCCAGTGCTGGGACTCGGCTCTGCCTATTCCTACTTGCAGCTCTGCAACTTCATCTCCAATAATAATGTAGTTGATAAGTGGCTCTGTATCTCTTTACTCCACTGGAACTGAGGTGATTTTGGAATCAGAAATGGCAGGAACATGACTGAGATGCACTGAAGCTGGCCTGCGAGAGTTTCAAGCCTCTGAGAGACCTTCAGATACCTGCTTGTGAGAAGCAGGCCTGTTACTGGCCTGGGCTTTGTTGAACATAATGACTTTGCACTAGCTCTTAGTGGATGTAGCAGTTCTGGGTTGATAACCTCTCTGTAAGTGACTGGGAGTGCTCGTGGTCTAGTTTTTCCAGATTTAGGGAAGCGTGTGTGAGAGCTCATTGCTCTGCTGGAGGAGATGCTGCCTTTGCAGCTCAGCTGAGGTCTAGGATTGTGTGAGCAATTCGATCTGATTTGGTGCAAGATTGGGATGACAGTTTAAGCTGGTTTTCATGGCATTTAATAAGTTTCCAATATATGACCAGTACATAGGCTGGGAGATTTCTATGGCTATAAAACCATGTGACAATTGGCCTTACTATCCTCTGCAGTGTGACAGATTTATTTGAAAAATCAAGGGAGAGCAGCTGCTGCTTTGCATCCAAAGTAGTGTGAGGTCATGCATCGAATGCTTTGCATCTTGCTGACCTGGGAACGAGGGAAACAAGCGGCCATAGGAGCCTGAAGCCTTAAAAGGTAGTGGGAGAGGTGCTGCCATCTCTGTGAGATGGCTGTGACCCTTGCAGGTAGAATTTGGCTCTTGATGCTGCCTGTTTGCTTAAAAGGCCTTGTTTGCAGTTGTATCTCAGATGTTCTTGTTCCTCTCCCAGCCTTGCAGCCACCTTCCCCAGCCTGTTACCTTTCCTTCCCTTACTCCTGCCAGGTGTCTGCACTGTTCCTATACACAGGGAAGCACCTTGAATTGCTACGTTTTATGTATGTGTGTCTCTTTTAGCTATCAGCAATGCTTTTTATCCTTTGCATGGGGTGGGACAGGGGTAGATATATTCCTGCATGTGTATTCTCTCCTAAACCCAGTTCTGGTTATGACGAAGGCTTGAAGGAAAAAGGAGTCGCCTCCTTAAAAGCCAGTGTAGCTCACTTTGACAGACCTGGTAGAGACATTAATGGCATGTGCTGCTTTGCCAGTCAAGTTGAGAGGGAGCAACCTCTGGTGTTGAAGAGGGAAGTGACAATTTCTAATCATTCTCAGTGCAGCTGGGGTTTACCCTCCTGACATGGTGTCCCCTGCTGCCTGGACCAGCAGTGGTGGCTGTAGCTAAAGGAAACGATACTGTAAAGAAGATGGCAGATTGTTTGCTCCAGCAGCTGGAGCGAGTAGCACTTTTCTAGAGGTGAGAAAATGTATTGGCTATTTTGCTATCTTGGAAAAAGGTGCCTTGGCACCTGGGTTGAGCTGCTGGATACTCATGGCAGTTTTCATAAGGATGTAATTGTTCTGTCCTTCTAGGGATGGTTGGAAACCTGAAAACAGCTGTGCCTAAACAACATGAGCTGAGGGAAAAGCTGAGAGTAAATAGCCTCTGCTTATGAGAACAGTTCCCCTGCTGATCCACCTGGTCCTGCTGCACACTGCAAAGTCATTGCTTGTCAGGGCAGTGCACTCACAGGGGGGGCTTCTGCAATTTGCTCTCTCCCCCACCCCCCTGCCAAAAAAAAAAAGGGACTCGAAAAGGAGACAACTGTTCCTATGTGTGTTGATGTGGGCTCTGGCAGCAAGCCCCACTGTGCCATGGCAAAGGGCAGCCCTTCAGCCTGAGCAGGGAGGGCTGTAGCAGATCACACTGGCGGTCTGGTCCCATCTCCAACCTGCCGCCGGACTGTGCAGTGCGGGAGGCAGGAACCTTGGCAGCGGTGGCGAGCTAGGCAGTCTGCTCCTAAAGAGCATCTACACCTGCTTGAAGTGACTGGTTTATGGCCTGAGGGGATGTGGATTTTCACCTAGAGATTTTGAAATAGTATCTTGTCTTCTCCTGTCCTGCATCTTTATTTGTGCATAAAAATGGTATAAAACTTCAGGAGAATA